AGAGATTGGTAAGCACTTATGTTGTACAAATCTTAGCAATCATGTTCCTCAGACATTTTTTATCGGAAATTGCCAATTTTTGCCAACCAGTTGGCAGATTCCAGGGAGAAATTCCATGAGTTAGATCAGGGAATAGACTCAAATCTCCTAAGTCAGATCAGTAAATCATGTTCAAGGAGAAAAATTTTTATGTTAAAGGTTGTTATATTTTTCAAACCATTGTTAAAGTAACGGTTTCCAGTGTATAAGAGTCAATAGTCCGGGTTACCATGGAGGCTTGAAATAAGAGCCACTCAGCCGGGTTACCATGGAGGCTTGAAGCTGGGACCGGAGTAGTATGATCTCATGTAATCATAACCTTTAAAGTCAGTCATGTCATGTATTCTATCAGTCAAGATACTTCAAGTTAAGGTTTTCAAAGATCAAGATCAGCTAATTCCTTTGTACTTGTGGGACCAGTTGATACTGGAACAGCCCTATACAGTACATAGTCATGAGTCAATGTTCAAGATTTAATGTTAAGGTCGACGTATAATAGTTGTTCAACCGGGTTAAATATGGAGGTCTGCAATACAGACTGTTAATCCAATTCTACCAGGAAACTTGAAGTCGCACCTTATCAAGTCAAGTACATCAGTAAATGTCATGTTCCAAATTTCGAGGCAACTATTTAGTTGTCTCGAGATAACTTCCAGAGTTCAGGTAAAGTCGATTCAGTCATGTAAAAGTCAAGTCATGGTTATCCAGTTATGAGAATATTCAGGCCAGTCATGTCAAGATTGAGGATAGTCTGTCTAATAAGACAAGATGTATAAGTCATTTCAAGAATAATCAGTGCCTCGATTCTCAAAATTTTGAAAATTTGAGAAATCGTAGGAGATAGTAATTCATGATAGACTTTTCTTGAGGTTAAGTTTGACCTCAAGGAAGGTAAGCAGGTGCAGGTACCACAGGATAACATACACCGCGACGGAGAAGGGCTAATCAACAGCAACAGTCCATGCCAGGATGACCAACTAAAGCTTTTCATTCAAGGATGCCATGTCTGAGTTACAGTACACAGGAGATTACAGAGAGTTAGTATTATAGTACATTGAGGTTACTAGCTGGAGGTACAGATATGACCAGATATACAGACTACGTCGACGACGCAGGTGCAATGATCGCCAGGTGCTGTATGCAGGCATGCCGCACTCACTTGATGAGGAGCAGGTGTGCCACATTACAATGTGCATCGAACTATGTGCCGCGTTATCGAGTAGATGTTCACGAAAGGTAATTACCGATATTGCTAGTTATCCTCATTTGTACACATGCATATCTCTGGATCTTCCGTGTGTACCAACGACTGAGGTTTTCCACGACCAAAGTTCAGACCGAAGATCAGCAATCAGCCAGGAGATGATGACCAGTACGTTTAAGTATTATGCTTTTAATATCATGCATAATCAGTGGAACACTTTATTTCAGGAAAGTGTCCATTTTCAGTCAGCAGTATCTAACAATTCACTTAATTGTGAATTGATGACTCCTCAGTTAAGATCAAATCCATTATTAAGTATTAAAGTACTGAATTCTCAAGTCATGTAATCAGTAAGTATAAGCTTTATGTTAAGCTTGTACGTTCAGTTTAGTATTTCCGAGGACGGAAATATTTTAAGGAGGGTGGATTGTAACACCTCGAGTTTTATTAATAAAGGAAAATACTAGCTTTTAATTTTAAGCTAGCCTTTGTTAATAAATAATCATGTTCATATTCAAGTTCAAGTTAATCAGCTAGTTATATTCCAAGTTCGACTACTAGTCGATAAATTATTCGGTTTAATTATTTCAGCAAGCGAATAAGTTTCCCGATTTAATTCCGATTCGTTTATTAATTAATGAGTTCAGAATTAATAAGTTAAGTTGACGAATTATTCGAAATATCAATATTGGGATTAATCGTCCAAGTCAAGAATTTGAAATTATTATTGTTCGAATTAGTTAATTTCAGTCGAGATTATCCGAAATTAATTTCGACGTCATGTTTACGTTCGGAATAATTCAGATATTAAGTATCATGTTTAGTAATTAATTAAGCATATAGATTATGTTTAATTAATTATGAATTATGTTTAATTTACTAATTGCCGTGGCCAATTTTTGCAATTAAAGTCATGAAAATTTCTCCCCATTTAAAATCCAAAAGCCGTGAGTTATTTAAAGGGAGAATTTGTCTCCAAAAGCTAGCATGAGGTGTCCATTCCTTGTTCAATTAGTGATGACTAAGCTTATATTAGGGATGAGTTAGCATCTAGGTGAATCTAATGAGGGCAAGTGGAGCAAAATAGAGAGGCCACATTGGCTCCACCTCTCCCCTTTCTTTTTGCCGTGCATATATATGTGGTGTGTGGGGAGAAATTCTTCCCTTATACTTAACATATATGTTCTTAAGATATACTTAGTGTAGAGAGAATTGGTGAGAATTCCTTAAGTTAGTATCTACCGCACGCAAGAAGCCGCACCGCACCGCGTCCGAGAGCACCGCACACGCACGGAAGCTCCGATTATCCCGAGCAGTTAGTGCGATCAGCCGAGTATTCGAGAGGGAACTTCGTTTTACCTTGGATTATTCATGTTAAAGTCATTTTAGTTCCGATTTTGCTATGGTCATGTTCATGATACGGCTTTAAGCCGTTTGGACGTGCGTGTAGTCCATTTAGAGCATGTTCATGTTTTATTCAAAATCTCTCAAGCAAACTTCGTGTATTTAGCAATTTTATGCTACATCATGTCCAGTCAGCTTGTGTTATTTGAAGGATTCTCATGTTTAATCGTTGATTTGGCCGAAGGGCGTGGTCGCGCACATAGCGCGAACCACGGGCCGTACATGCGTAGCGGTTATGTTATTCAGTAGTCCTTCGAGCATTTCATGTTTAATTGTTCAGCAAATATTATTCCTTGAGCAGTTACATGTTAGTTGCCGAGAGAAATTTATGTTCGGTCGAGAAACGGCTTAACGCCGTAGACAGCGCATGGTGCGTACGCCACGGCCATGTTTAGCTTGTTGTGCGAAATTCATGTTTTTAAGTGTTTTCAGCAAGTTTGATCATTTCAAGTTATTTCATGTTATTTCAAGTCATATTGCTCGAGAGAAGTCGCCGGACGACCGACAAGGGCCGGTCGTGACCGCGCTGCCCGCACACAGCGGCAACAGCGCGCTGGTAGTCAGCCAGCGCAGACAGGCAGCGCGCGTGTATGCCCGCGGGGCGTCGCGCACATCCTGCCGCGATAGCAGCCCGCTGGCAGTGCCCAGTACACGCCAGCCAGTCGTCGTGCATGCTAGTGTGCGCGCGTACATGCCCAGTTGTCTGCTGCGGCGCGTGGTAGCTGTTGGAACCAATGAGGATCTCGATATGCACAAATCACGGACAAACATTCAACATAAACCTATGCGCAGCGGATCTAAAGGTTTGATGAAGAAAACTTACTGCTTAAAATTTATGTAGATCTGGCTGGCCCGAACAGTTGACCGCAAATCAAATCTTCTCGGAATCGAACAAACTTGACCAATCCAGAAAGCTGACGTCACGGCGAAGTCAACGGCGTTGACCGATCGGAAATCGGCCTTCTCACGCGCTCTCACGCGCGACGACAAGTTCCAGCAGCAGGTTTCTCCCGGCGGCGCGTGGCGGCGCGTGCGGCGGCGGTTGGCGGCGATCTCGACGGCGATCTCTTCGTCTCGTCGTCCTGGTCGTCGTGGTATGGTCACTTGCTCGTTTTGGTCTCCGATTTGGATGTATGATTGGAATCTCTATATACCTTAAGATCTTCTACTGTATTCTCAATCAGCTTTCTAGATCTTGTATCAGTGGAACACAAGAAATAGAAGAACTCCTTGGAAAGAGAGAGAGAGAGGCGGACGAAATATAGAGCTGATGGGATTGTCTCTTCTCTTCCAAGAGCCTAATGCTGTATATATAGAGCTACAGTAGGGACCCTAAGGAGAATAGAAGAAGGGCTTCTAATATATTAATACTGTGGAGCAACCCCACAATTAATATATTAATA